TTCGGCTACTGACCCCAAAAAAATAATTTATTGTGACTTTTAGTCTGGTTCAAAAGTTGTACCACGGAATAGACTGGAGTTTCACAATATAAGTTTTCATTCATTTTTTTTTTTCATTTTCTGAAAAAATAACAGATATTTAAAATTTGACATGAGACTCACCTAGATAATTTTTGGAATAAACTGCCTCTGACACTTTAACATGCATTGCACCTTTAGGAATTTTTACAATTTCTTGATAGGCTGAGAAGTGAAAAAAAAATTTTAATTGCACATAGATATCTCTTAAGTGTCACAGTCTACTCCCATAGATAAGGCATGCAGAATCACAGCACAATGCATGAACACTGTAGTGCCAGTGATGATCTAACTGTGTATTTACCAGAAATGTACAACTACAGATTGTCTGTAGCATGGATCAACCCTATATTTTACCAGAAAAACACAACTATAAATCGCTTTTTGCTGGTCATTTCAACTATATAGGTTACCACAATTACACAGCTATAACTCATCCTTTTTTAGCATGGATCAACCCTTTAGTTTACCAGAAATATGCAAGTAAATCATATTTTGTTAGTCAAACAACACACACACAACTTTTTTTTTTTTTTCATCGAACACCGGCTGTGAATTCCAGTGGAAGGTCCCGGTTAATCGTCCGCTTGGACTTTTGGCTTTCACCTGGACCTGATTTTTGCATGTACAACCGTTTTTCATTTCCCTGCCTCTTGGGCAGCTGTACGCCGACTTCGAAGGAAGACGTCAGGCCTATTTCTAGGGTGACTGTGGCCATTGTTTTGTGTGGGTCGAGACTTTGCCTGATTTGTGTGGTGTCCGCCTTGTCTCCTTCGCCGCAGGTATTGCCCCCGGAGTACCCCTTTGGAGCAGCCCCCTGTGGAACAGTTGGCCCTCAAGGGAAGGCAGGGGCAGATCATGGGCATTCCCCGCCATCCAAGGAGGCTTCCATGCATGCAGAGCCGGCACATGGCGCTCTGGTTCTGGGCTCACCCAAGGAATCGTCACGTCCTGCACATGCCTGCTTAACCTCACAACCGTATCAGGCCTCCCGCTCGACAGGGGCTGCGCCCTCTGGAAGTCAGCGGGGAGCAGCCCGTGGGTTTTGGACTTTTGTGACCACACAGATAGGTACATTAGCCCGACAGAATTTCACATCCTGAATCAGGCATATCGTTATCAGTTTTGTCCCAACACTCGGGCGAGTGGGGTCTTTGGGTGTGGACATTCGGCCTTTTTCAGTTCAGTGCAAATTTTGATGGTCAGATTTTGATCCGTATGATCTAGTTTTTGTCGGACATTTAGGCTTAGCCATCCGATGGATGGTTGCTGTTGTGGTGTACCACAGCGCGGTGACGACGACACTGAGGGTTAACCGAGGATGTACGTGACTGGCCAGCCTATGGATGGTTGCTGTTGTGTTGCACCTCAGCGCGGTGACGACGACACTGAGAATTAACCGAGGATGAGCATTGAGCAATGTTCTCTTTACTCAGCAGTCTTTTAACCAAGGGTTGTAATTTTAGCTGTACTTTTGTCAAACCTACTCATGTTCCTGGTGAGTTTTGATAACATTTTTCACCCAAGCGTTTGGGGGCGGGCTGATGAGAGCCACAAGGACACATCACCTCTGGGGGCCGCCAAACTCCGAGATCCCCTGACAGCTCTGTTAATGCTCATTTGAGACATTATCCGTGGCGCACGACGAGGACGTGCTGTAGGGGTCTTGCGTGAGGTTCCGTACAACCAGGATAGTAAAGGACTGGCGCCCGAGTGACGTACGGAGTATCTCCTTATACACATCATGTTGGACTTAACTTCCCCTCACGCCTGTGACATAAATCACCGCGCCACACACACACAACTATAAATCATCTTTTGTAGCATGGATCAACCATATAGTTCATTTGAAATATGCAACCATAAATCATATTTCGTGGGCCATATAAACCCTATAGTTTACCACAAACGCACAAACATAAATTGTATCTTGTTGGTCATATCAACCCTATAGTTTACCACAAACACACAAATATAAATTGTATATTATCGGTCATATCAACACTATAGTTTATGACAAAGACACACACATAAATCATATATTATTTGTCATATCAACCCTATACTTGACCACAAACATAAATCGTATAGTTTTGGTCATATCAACCCTTTGGTTTATACTATAAACACCCAACTATAAATCACCTTTTGTTGGTCATATCAGCCTTATAGTTTACCAGAAAAACACAACTATAAATTGGCTTTGTTGGTTAAATCAAACCTGCAGCTGTATAGTAAGAGAATATTTCTATTGTGTGACTATTGACAACTTGTCTTCAGTAGACACTGTTAAAAAATTAATAAAGTTCTTTTTAACATGTTCATCCCATCTCAGGGGCTCTGAGATTTTGTAGGGAATTCCTAGTGAGTTTCCATGACAATTCTATATTATGGGGGGGAAAAAAAAGGGGGGGGGGGTGTTAGCATTATTGTTAGTCAATGTTCATTTAACACTAACCCTACAACATTCAAACTTCTATACTCTTGGGGTGTCCTCTGTTGTTTGTTTTTAGCATTTTTATTGTTTATTGCATCATCATTTCTAGTATGTGTTACTTTCGTTCATTTGACAATATCACAGTGCCCTGTTTGGAAGCTGTGTTCTTACTTTGTGACTTCCCATTTGCAGTGAATTGTCTTGACCTGCCAGCATTGCTGCATCTAGTCCTAACCCTAACCCACATACATGGAGACTGTCAACACTTGTCAGGGCCCTTCACCACTATAATATATGCCTTTCCGGGAGACTTCCTAGGAATTCCCTACCAAATCTCAGAGCGTGCAAGATGGGGCGAAAAAGAACCTAAATGAACAGTGATTAGTTTGTCACAAACAATTTTCTTTTCTAAAAATCAAAATATTGATATCAGAATGATCTAACTGCAGTAGCAGTCGACGTGTAGTAAATGACGGCAGTAGCAGTCTAGGTAAGCATCAATACTTTATATAATTATGTTGTTCATTATTATTTTGTTTAATCTGTTTACATAACATTTTAATATCATAATGCAGTCATTTCATAATCAGTTAATTTTATTTGTTTGTGCGATGTGTTTTGTTTCTCTTTGTTTGTTCTGCCTATTGCTGCAATGTCCTTTATTTGTCTGTCATAATTGGTCCTGAAAAGCGACAAATGCTTGACATTATTCCAGTTATTTTAAAATTATTCTTAACAAATGCATGGCGTTTAGAAGTAAATATGTAAGTCACATCAGCAGTTGGTAAGCCTTTTCTCAAAAGTGATCAGGAAATAAAAAATATTACTTTTGCTGCATTTAAGTCTTTCAATCCCAAAAAGGCACATTATGTTATTTGCTAGAGCATTTTATATCAATTCAATGCATGTAATTTTGTCATTCACATATGGTCACGGCATGCTAAAGAAATTTGGCTAAATATTTAATTTTTGAATTAGCAATGCTTATGTCATGGACCTGTCAGAATTAAAGTTGATGATATGAACACAGCTGTATAATTCTGGAACATCACATTTTATTCAACTCATAGGATTTAACAGAAGATTAGTTTGCGGATTTAACAATAGTATAGTGGCTACCATTTAGAAAGCAAAGTCAAATAGCAGAATAGAAAATTACGCAATACGATATAAAAATCCAAAAAAGACTAGGGTTGGTTTGCAAAGTAAAATTTTCCCACCTCCATCAAAGTATTAGGGCTTTTACTATTTTTCCAACTACTCAGGAACCTTTTCAGACTAAACATGTTGAAAATAAAAACAATAACCCAATAACCACAAACCCTACCATCTTACAGCATTTAAGCAAAATCTTACTGAATAATCAACATATGAACATAAATTTACTGAAGAACCTAAACTCCTACTATACTGTATGTTAAGTTTTGTTAAGTTAAAGTACAATATTAAGTTCAGGGCAAGTGAACGTTTGAGGAATAGAAGGCAGAGGGGGCTGAAACAGATGTGGTGGTGCTGCACCATGATCAGGACTTGAACTGCTTAGGACTTATCCACACCTTTCTGTGGGCATCGTAGAAATAGGTTTCTAACCAGCCTGGCCAACACAGAAAAGATTTCCTGGCCAACAAAGATAAGATTTCCTGGCCAACATAGATAAGATTTCTTGGCCAACATTTTTAAGATTTCCTGCCAGCATAGATAAGATTTCTTGGCCAACATATATAAGATTTCCTGGCCAACATAGATAAGATTTCCTGGCCAACATATATAAGATTTCTTGGCCAACATATATAAGATTTCTTGGCCAGCATAGATAAGATTTCCTGGCCAGCATAGATACGATTTCCTGGCCAGCATAGATACGATTTCCTGGCCAGCATAGATAAGACTGATGTTATCTTTGAAGTCATAATACATCTGCCTGACAGGTAAAGAACCAACAGTCTGCAAACAAATAAACCAGATTAAAAATGGATATGCACAAATCCCAGGATGAACAACCAGGACTTTCTGCTAGAGTTTACAGCCAATGAAGGTGATGAAGAAGAAAACTGAGAAATGTCATTTGTTTAATCATGAAAATTATGGCTCACATATCAAACTTAAGGTCATACCTCATTCTTTGTCCTAACATATTGATACTTTCACTAGCATGTTATGATAATCACTTCTTCTTCTTCTTCTTCTTAACTTGTACTGGCTGTAAACTCAAGGTTCTGGTTGTTCTTCTATTTAGGGACTTTGGTCTTGTTCAAGAACTGGACTTTTACATGCACACCCATTTTCCAGATCTGGATTATTTGTATGCAGACTGTTGACTCACAGGCAGATGTACTGTGACTTGAAAGAAAAAAGCCTTAATTAGTTGCCTTTTATGACATTCTTGTTAAGGGGGGAGGGCAGTAGATCAATTTCTCTGCCCTGCAATGGGTGCTTTGGAACCAACACAGGGAAATAATAACAAAAGCACTGTGCACTTATTTACCTCCTTTTGGAAGAGGTTTGTCAAAGTAGCCAGAGATAGTTTTGCATGTAGAGTTATCTCCAGCACACACTCTGCAGTTATCTTCTCTTACTTGAGATCCAAGGTAGCCATCACAACCTACAAACTAAGACATAATAAAGTTACAGAAACATGGCATTCAAGTATGACCATTAGAGACATTTTCAGACATTAATTAATAATCTCACTAAATGATCTTTTTTTTCTTTTAAATTTAAAAACCAAGAGATTAATATAGATGTTATATATTTATGGTAATGGTAATGTTAGTTTCAGCTTCATAACTAACGGGTCAACCCATAGTTGCTGCGATCCTGTGCCAAAACACACAGAATGTTCATCACAGTCCCTTGTGGAAAGATTGACAGACTGCTGTCTCAGCATTTGTACTAGCATTAAAGCATACAGTAGCCATCAGAAGTGCTAACACAAACAGACCGACATTAGAAATGCAGTTAATCATCGACAGTACCAGAGGTAACCAACAAATCAGCAGTTGCACATGCAATCAATTGTAATCACTTAGGGGCACCACTAATATTGTGACAACAGGCCACACACCATTTTCTGAATCTACAATTTACAACAGCATGTTATGGTCACAGTCGGAAAAACATTCCAAATGAAATCCGCAACTTACAGGGTTACACCATGTACTCAGCTCAGTAGCTGGGTGACAAAACAATATCCTTTCAGTCTACAAATGGAGCAAAAATGCAACGGCCATTGTCTGGCAGAAGCTAAAACAGTGACCATGCCTAGCGTCCATTTTGATATATACACATACACTCATACACACATATATATATATATCTATATATAAAATTGACAACTTTTATGTTATTCATTGACTAATTTTTATGAATAGATTATTTTGCTGAACAAACCCAGAAAAAGAACAGAAATAAATGATGATAAAACATATAAAACATGATTATAATGAGTCTTTTATAGGTAAGTAATTATATATGTGTTTGTGGTAGGTGTGGGTGGTTAGTACCCTTTAGATATTTTCTCCAGATCAAGACGCCGTGTTGGGAAATGAGCAGGAAGATAGACTGGCCGGTTCTGTACAGTTTGGTGGTGAAATAATGTATGATAACTAGATGTTGTGAGGGTTCTTTGGGAGCGACTGAGCAGTGTGGAGGCACAGATAGATCATTATGGTCTGTGGAGAATGGCACTGCGAGGAGTTACAAGGGAATCTGGCCAGCGCTCAACACTCAGGAGAAAGGCAAGATGGATATACAATCAGACAGTTACTGGTGCCATTGGAATTGGAACTCTTCACTTGCTGCTGAAGATGGGGACACAGCGCTTATGGGGGTGTCCTGAGTGCTGTGATTTTGATTCTTAATTTAAAATGTGACATATGTGTTTGTGTGCAGGTCGGTGTGCATATGAGTACATGTAAATGTGTGTTTGTGTGTGTGTGTATATGTGTGTGTGTGTATGTGTGTTAAGATGTACATATTCATTATTATCAAGTGCCTTACGATTATGCCTCTCTACAATCTGTGATCTGTAACTGCATGTATCACTTCATGTGTTGTCACCCCTACATGCCAGATTTGGCCTGTGGAGGCCTAGTAAGTGGCTCATGGACTATTGCTAGTTGTATAGCAATAATGATCTTTCTATGCTGGGGCTCGAGCATCTGGCCAACGATGTTCCTCGTTTTCAGCATTTTGACCTCTGAGTAAACTTAGTTAAATAGCCCTACATTAGGAAATCAACATATAACATTGGAGAAACAACAAATAACATTAGAGAAACAAAACATAACATTAGGGCAATAATACATAACAATAGGTAAACAACATATAACATTAGTGAAACTGCATTCAGTGGTAGGGAAACAACACATATCATGAGGGCAACAACACACAATAAAATAGGGAAACAAAACCACAAACATTATCTGAGATTTTGGTGATGATGTGAAATTGCAACCACTGACAACCTATGCTTAGTGACATGGTTCACGGTGATATTAATGGTACATTTACAATAGTATTTGTGACATGACAAACCCTGACATTACGAAAACATGACATGTACTGTTGGTAAACATGTGACATGACAAACTCTGTTGTTACAAAAAGATGGCAACTACTGTTGGTACAGACATGTCATGACAAACCCTATCATTACAAACACTTATGTGGTAATCATCACTGTGATACATATGTGCCATGACAAACCCTATCATTACAAACACATATGTGGTAATCATCACTGTGATACATATGTGCCATGACAAACCCTATCATTACAAACACTCATGTGGTAATCATCACTGTGATACATATGTGCCATGACAAACCCTATCATTACAAACACTCATGTGGTAATCATCACTGTGATACATATGTGCCATGACAAACCCTATCATTAAAAAAAATAATGACAGTTACTGTTGGTACAGATGGGACATGATAAACTCTGTCATGACAAATACTTGACAATTATCATGGATACAGATAAGATATATCAAACCCTGTAAATACAGACACTTACATGACAGTCGTTTCTGATACACATGTTAGAAATCCTGTCATTACAAACATCTGACGGTCACCATTGATTCAGATGTGACAAACACTGTTGTTACAAGGGTCTATATGACGATCATCATGGGTACAGAAACGCCATGACAAACCCTGTCACTACAAACTCTTCAATGATAGTCCCCATAGATGCAGGAAGCCAAAGAAAAATAAGAAACCAACACAGAACTGGTGTTATCATCTGCTACACACAGTGAGATTTACTGAGGAGGGAATCCGAAAACTTATGGATTGAATGGCTTGATGTGCAATGAGGATAATCTGTCAACTAACTAACTAAACTAACAGATGTGACATGACAAACCCCGTCACTACAAACTTTTACAAGGCAACCACCACTGATACAGGTGTGACATGACAAACCCCCGTCACTACAAACCTTTACAAGGCAACCACCACTGATACAGGTGTGACATGACAAACCCCATCACTACAAACCTTTACAAGGCAACCACCACTGATACAGATGTGACATGACAAACCCCGTCACTACAAACCTTTACAAGGCAACCACCACTGATACAGTTGTGACATGACAAACTCAGTCATTAGAAATTCTTACATGACAATAATATGACATGACAAACCCTGTTATTACAAACACTTACATGACAGTCACCATTGATACAGATGTGAGGTTTGTCTGGGAAACACTTGGTACCATCCTTGACTTTTGGTGACCTCTCAGTGTAGAAGTTATAACCTTCTGCCATGCAGATCAGAGAACATGGTTTCGCCTGCTCTAGAGAACAAACATGCATCAGCCAACAATGTTCTTTCTAGTTCTATGCTGTTACATGTTTTTGTATGGATATGGTTTTACTTGCCCTAGAGAATAAACATGCATCAGCCAGCTATGTTGAATTTCTTTTTTCACTGCATGTTTTTACAATGAATTTGATATTCCCCATTCTATGGAACAAACATGCATCAGCCAACTATGTTTTTACCATTTCTTTGTTACATGTTTTTATTCTGAACATGGTTTTGCTTGTTCCGGAGAGTCCAGTCTGGGAATGTCAATGACCAAATTTGCAACCTGTTACATCACTTCATCATCAAATAGCAGGTCCTTTACAGAACATCCCTCTCATCAACGTCTGCATGACAGAAACTCACCAGCTCTCCCGCCTCCCGTACTTTCATATTCAATTAGTCACTTTTATCCTGTGACCATCTTTATGTTGGCTGGCCCTGTCCCTTCTTCCTGTTACCATGCCTTCTGCTATTATTTTGTTCCAATCGGCCATGGTGCTTTACATGACCAAAATATTTCAGCTTCCGTTATGTCAGTTAGGAAACTGAAGTTCAGCACAAGTTTTTTTTTTTTTTCCGTTAATCATTTAAGTATGTTTATGTTAAATAAACATCTTATGAAGTCATTTTGGTGTCTATAAACTTTGAATTACTTGATGGACATTATTTTTCTGAAAGAGTTAACAGTGTAAACCCATATATTTGATGAGTGATACATTGTAAATATATGTGTACCATCTCTTTAGTAAATAACAACAAATAAAAGGTGGAAGAGGAAGTGCTGAAACTAGAAAATGAAGAAGAGTTGGAGAAGAAAAATAAAAGCAGGAGAAAGGAAAAAAAGTTGAAATAAGGAAGAAGACAGTGTGTAGCACTAACCTCCAGTATAGAGCACCCATTTGTACAGCCTGCCCCTGAATGTCACATTGTTGTAACTGCTGCACTGAACCTGTCTGAAGTCTTCAGAATTAGCTGGACAAGGCTGGAGAGAAAATAAAAACTAGCCTAAGTTTTCACTGTTGTAGTTTGCAGTCAATCTTTGATGGTTTATTGATTTCCCTATCCCCTATCAGGGAGCCACGCTGGTGTAGTGGCCTTATTTTCACCTGCAAGGTCAGAGGGTCATGGGTCCAAATCTGATCAGTCAGACTTTTTTTTTTAAATAGCCTTGCTCCCAGGACGATCCATCCTTAAATAGATACCAGGGAAAGTTATGGGAAGTAAAGACAGCTAGCATGATGTTGATGATTGGTTTATAAAATATAGGTCTAACACATATGCCCAATATGCCTGAAGGCAAGAAAAAGTCCTTTATTTTTCCCCTATCTAAGTAAGTCTAGTACTTTTTATAAACCAGTTCCTACATTTTATTTGGTGCATAGTCCCAAAATACAAGCACGAATCCTCAAAAATGCTAACACATATCATATTTAATATGACTGATAAATTTACATTCTTGGGGCAAGTCATGAAAAAGGGAAAGTAAGATTGCATCTTAAAGAAAAGCCAGACTATTTTCGTGATAGAATCACTGATGTGGAGATCTTTGAGAAAAACCAAAACAAATTCTACTGAGTCAAGGGATAAAGAAAAGACATGGTACTAGTTAGGACACACAGTGAAAAAACTTGATAAAAATTTAACTAGAATATACTTGACCTGGAAACACCCCCCCCCCCCTCTCTAAACACACACACACACACTCAAACATACCCACTCACACAAAGGTTAGTTAGTTGCTCATCCTTTACAGTGCATTGTAGAACCGACCCTAGTATATTTCAGCTGTTAGTGCTTCGCAACACCTAAGCTACAGACACCGAACCCACAACAAGACCAAAGAAATAAAAGGAGAATAATAAAAGCACATAGAGAAGAGAATTAGAAAGTGAAGTAAAAATATAAGGAGACATGTGATGCAAGGACACAATGACAAAGGACAAGAAGCCATGATGCGACTTAGTTGAAGGCTTTCACTTTACCTGAAGATAAAAAGAAGCTTTGTTCACTTACTGTGACATTGCATGATCTGTACCTTTTTCTCTGCCCAATACAGTATCTGCCACCATCTTTGGGTCTGAGGAACAGAGAGCCCAATTATGTTCTCACCAACCAAACCTTGCCTGCCATTTGCATTAACATATAAGTACAATGGTACCTTGGAATTTGAACACCTCAAAATAATTTGGAATCCAGCAACATTTTCAAGTAAATCTTACCTGGAACTCAAACATCGGTTTGAAAGTTTAACACCTGGCTTGTGCTAATCCCGTGACTGAGCTGACAATCCAAGATGTTCAGCACCGTCCCCAGCAGCAGAAGAAAGAAATTACAGGGAAAAAAATGTCCTCCAGGGAGGAAAAGAGGCAGGCTGGAAGAATTAGCACTGCTGAAATCCAAGATCTTTTGACCATTTGGTCGACAAGTTGTTGAGAGGTAGAACCCTGATAGAGCCCTAGTTAACAGGTGTGGTTATTTATTCAATGATAATAGTATTAAACATTAAAAAAAAATAAAAAGTAGTCACAAGCAGCAGAACACTTTGGAACACTGGCTGTCAACAAAAAGTAGTTACCCCAACTTCTCTAGAGACTACTGTGGAACAGATTATGTTCACATTCTGAGATGTCGTTGTATTGATTTTCACGAATGAATCAGTTTTTTTTTTAAAGAATGTCACACTTTACCAATAGTACCTATTTGTTTTTTACTGTGGTAGGCAAATTTATGTTCAATCAATCAATCAATCAATTAGTCAGGTGCCATTCCACATTGAAGGTCAGCTGTCTGATTCCAAACTGCTTGTAACTAGTTTCATCTTCTTGTCTTCTGATATATCAAGATTGTGAAGCTATGTTCACAGCTCCTAAACCACACACATACACACACTATCAGCTATTAGAAGACTCACTACAAATATATTAATATAACATGCAGCATGTTACACATATTTATGTACATACAATCTAAAACTATCATTTAATGTGTTTTTTTTTTTTTTTTATATTGCTGTGCAGACATCACCAAACAAATTTCAGAGGAATAAAAATATATATATTTTTTTAAATTAATTTTTTGGCTTGGCTACAAAAACTACAATAAGGATGCAATTGGTGATTAGTGAGTATTATCATCACAGCGCTCCTGTAGAATTCCTGTACTTGACCAAAAATGGCATGGAAATCTGGTCCACATGTGCAATCCTGTAAGAGAGATTGTAGAGGGACCTTTTTTTCCTTTTTCTCACATCATTCTCTTAAAATAGATTGTTGATATCAGCAATGTTGTCTCATTCTATTAATGTCACTACCTGTTTTAGTTCAATGCACCTCAGTCATCTGAGGGTTGAAAGATAAGTAACAAACTATAGAAACATGAACAGTGTTCTGATGGCTGACATTTTGTACACTTACTCAGGATTGTCACATTCTCTGACGTTGGCTGAAACACCACCTTCACAGGTCCGAGAGCACTCTCCCCACTCACCCCATAGCCCCCAGTTTCCATGCACTGTTCTTGTCTCATACTTGGGGTTTCGGCATTCACCTCGGAAACACCACTTTATTTTATAAAGAAGAATAACACAAATTTATCCAGTATGAAACAGACTAAATACTTTATTCTGATTTTTTTTTTTTAAAGAAACTTACATGAATGTAAATTAGAGCATAACTATATGTTCTGTTAAATATGCCACACCTGATACACAGACATCTCTGTGGAACCCTTGACGTCATAGAACAAGTTTGTTAAGCAAATTAACACATATTGAGTGGAACTCAGGGTACAAAGAAAGGTATCAGCTGTATTTTCATATTTCACTTTCTTTCTTTCGCATTTATAACTGTCAGTCAATATATGTTTGTTTGCTTATCATGCAGGTTCTTTGTAACACTCTAATAATTTTTTTTTCTCATTGGAATGTAACTTTATTCTATAGGTAAGTATGGTTTCTACCAGTTTATGTATTTTTATTTTTAAAGCCATTCATACGGTTTTCTAACAGTGGTGCAAAAGTTTTGGCAGTTGCCATGATGTAGCGGCTAGATGCTCGCCTATGGATTGAAGGTTCCGGTCAAGATGGAGCCGGACTTATGTCAAAATTAACCTTGGCTCCCAGGTCGACCCAACCTTAAACAGATAACAGGTAAAGTCCTGGGAAGTAGGCTGGCTGATGCTGACCACATCACTCACCAAGTGCCGACTGGTCCATAAAATATAGGTCTAGCCCTATATGCCCAATGTACCTGACAGCATGGAGAAGGGTCCTTTACTTATTTTTCTTACAAGAGTTGGGACGTGGGAGAGAGTGAGACCTCACAACATAATATTTCCAGTTCAGAGGTGCCTGCCCTGCAGCCAACCTCCATTATGCACACGGTATACAATTGTTGTTCAACCTTGCAAAAATACATTTCTGCAAAGAAACTGGTCTGCTGCAAAAAGGGCTTTCCCTATCCATCCTCAGTGCCCAGACTGGTGACCAGGTTACCAAATGTTTCTTGTTCTAGAAATGCATGGCCCACTTCTATCTTATTAGATCAGTAACAGTTTAAGGAAGAATTGAACCTGGTGGATCTACTTCATTTGGTGAGACAGTGCCCTACTTTCCCAACCTCCAAACCTTACTTTTCCAGAGCCTGCACTATCAGGAAGTGGGATTAACTTAATGAACTTCAGGTTACTCTGAGAACTGTAACCAGGGATCGTGATCTGTGCAGACGCATGAGCACAGGGCACATGATAATGATGAGAACTGTAGTGGCTGGTCAAGTCGCTAGAATGCTAAACTGATGGATAAGTGATGGATATTTTTGTCTGCTGGACCAAAAAAAAAAAAAAACAGTTAATTGCAACTGCACAAGCCAAAAATGGCCCTAAATCCGCAGCGATAGGACCTCTCTTTCCTACCTTCACAATGAAGGTTGGCTAAAGTGTATCCAAGTGAGTGACTACCAGGGCCAAACAACTAGGATCAACAACCGGAGACACTAGGTGAGACAATTCCAAAGGGAATTCCCTTCACAAGTTCCAGAAACCCCACTTAACTGTTAGTCTATATTAGGGTCCCCCCCGATTACAGCCGGTGGGGTTTTAAAATACCCCCTTCCCCCACCCCCCAAACTGCATCCTATATTAGGACAGAGTTAATATATAACACTGGCAGAGACCAGATACAGCGTCAGGAAATATGAAGCATTGGCCATTTAATATGCGGTCTCCAAGTTTGCAACCTTCCTGTATGGTTGCAGATTTACCATTTGAACTGACCATCAACCATTGCAAATCCCTAAATTTGGGTTCTATTAAAAATGCTAGGATCCTTAGATGGTCTTTATTGTTAAAAAACTTCTTATATGACAAATTTTTTTTTTATGGTAGGAAGAATCTGCCAGCTGATTACCTTTCAAGGTTGAACACAAGAGAAGTGTCACCTCAAATGGCAATGTTAAGGACATGTAATTATATCAATTTTTTCAATGTGACTAAAATTTGTTGACATACTGCATGCTTAGATAGGTGATAATACTATTGATATAGGAATCACATGTTCATGTAATGTAATATATTTGTAGAATCATCACCAAAAAGTACTTTTAGCTTCACAACTGACAACTCACTTAATTTTGTTAGTTGTCAGTTGCAGAAGGGAGGAGGTAATATTGTTGCGTGCTGATGTGGAATGGTTGCAACATTGTTAGGGAGTCCACTGGAATGTCTGGTGACCTAAGTCAATATTTGGTGTGGTGTTGACTAAAGCCAGGAGATGTCAATTCAGCTTGAGTCAACATTATTACAAGTTGATGTTGACTCAGGGCTGGACGGACCAGTGAATTCACGAAGTGTCAGCCCGGAGCGGGCGAATTATGATACTTAGTGCGTGGATAGCAGCAGTCACACGGAAAAGTATGGGTTCTCAATAAAGGGGGATCAAGCATAACAGTGAGCGCCTCGTGTGCACTGGAGAGCTCACAAGGGGCAGGCAAGTGTCAAGTAAAATACAGATCAGCGTATGTATAAGTTATACATTCCTTCATCTTCTTTTCGTTTACTAGCTGTAAACTCTGATGGAAAGCTCTGGTTGTTCATCCACTTCTGGACTACAGTCTGGTTCCAGAACTGCAGTTTTGCACGCACGTTCAATTGACAGATCTGAATTATTTGTGTGCAGACTATTGCTTCCCCACTTGTAAGGCACTGCACTCTGACTTCAAAGGATACACCCTAGTTAGTCAACTTTTATGAAATCCTTATTGAGGGACAGCAAGTAAAGGTCCCTTTTCCATGTTTTTAGGTGTATAGGGCATATAGGGCTAGACCTATATTTTGATAGACCAATCGGCATAAGATGGGTGATGTGGTCAGCATCACGCCGGCTACCTTTACTTCCCAGGACTGCAGCCGGTACCCACTCAAGGCTGGGTCGACCTGGGAGTAAAGGTCATTTTTTGAAAAAAAAGTCTGGCTCTGCCAGGGAGCGAACCCACGACCTTCCGATCTGCAGGCGAGTGTCTAGCCGCTATGCCACGGCAACTCCCTTGAGGTATAGTGGGTCTGTTGTATCTCCTACCACAATGGGGTCCCAGAAACCAGGTGGGAAATTTAGTGAAATGAAATGTAAACCAGATCCATACTTACTCCTCTCTTCTGTCTTGAGATTTGACATTCAGTGCCTTCAGCTGCTGGGATACTGTTGGTTACGCATGCGTCTGCTTCGTTCATGCACCACAGCTCTTCACAGGCATACTGTGATTGCAGATATAACAGTGGTGTGAATGTTAGTGTCAATACAACAATAAACAGCTAAGAGCTACAAATATATATTATTATTCTTCCTCTGCATTCCTCCTTCAATGGGAGATTGCGGTTGTGTAATGCAGCTAGGCTGTGATATCTGCCTTTTCAGCCTAACACATCCAATCTCAGCATATCCCTAATTAGTTGCCTCTTACAATCAATTTGATGTCTCTCTCCACACTATGATATCTTTCCGCACTGTGACATCTCTCCACATTGTGATCTCTCTCCACACTGTAATATCTCTCTCTACACTATGATCTTTCTCCACACTGTGATACCTCTCTATACACTGAGATATTTCTCCACACTGTTATATCTCTCTATACACTGAGATATTTCTCCACACTGTTATATCTCTCTATACACTGAGATATTTCTCCACACTGTGACATCTATCTATACACTGAGATATTTCTCCACACTGTGACATCTATCTATACACTTAGATATTTCTCCACACTGATATCTATCTATACACTGAGATATTTCTCCACACTGTGACATCTATCTATACACTGAGATATTTCTCCACACTGTGACATCTATCTATACACTTAGATATTTCTCCACACTGTGACATCTATCTATACACTGAGATATTTCTCCACACTGTTATATCTCTCTATACACTGAGATATTTCTCCACACTGTTATATCTCTCTATACACTAAGATATTTCTCCACACTGTGACATCTATCTATACACTGAGATATTTCTCCACACTGTTATATCTCTCTATACACTAAGATATTTCTCCACACTGTGACATCTATCTATACACTGAGATATTTCTCCACACTGTGACATCTATCTATACACTGAGATATTTCTCCCCACTGTGACATCTATCTATACACTTAGATATTTCTCCACACTGTGACATCTATCTATACACTGAGATATTTCTCCACACTGTTATAGCTCTCTATACACTGAGATATTTTTCCACACTGTTATATCTCTCTATACACTGAGATATTTCTCCACACTGTGACATCTATCTATACACTGAGATATTTCTCCACACTGTTATATCTCTCTATACACTGATATATTTCTCCACACTGTGACATCTATCTATACACTGAGATATTTCTCCACACTGTGACATCTATCTATACACTTAGATATTTCTCCACACTGTGACATCTATCTATACACTGAGATATTTCTCCACACTGTTATATCTCTCTATACACTGAGATATTTCTCCACACTGTTATATCTCTCTATACACTAAGATATTTCTCCACACTGTGACATCTATCTATACACTTAGATATTTCTCCACACTGTGACATCTATCTATACACTGAGATATTTCTCCACACTGTTATATCTCTCTATACACTAAGATATTTCTCCACACTGTGACATCTATCTATACACTTAGATATTTCTCCACACTGTGACATCTATCTATACACTGAGATATTTCTCCACACTGATATCTCTCAATACACTATGATCTCTCTCCACACTGTGATATCTCTCTATACACTATGTATGATCTCTCTCCACTCTGTGATATCTCTCTATACAGTGAGATATTTCTCCACACTGTGATATCTCTCTATACACTGAGATATTTCTCTACACAGTGTATCTCCACACTGTGATATCTTTCTCCACGCTGTGATTTTTTTCTCAATCTCATCCCTAATATATCCCTTACATCACTGTCACATCACTTTTACAGCACTTTCTCCCACCTTTGTCAGATCTTTCTCCACACTGCAAGGTAATGGGTCTTTTCTTGTTTCTCTCCAAAGTACAAGTGTTGGTGAATTGATTCATGATAAGCAAGATGTTGTAAGGACCCTCTGGGAGCATGTGAACAGTGCAAAGGCAGAAACAGATTGTCAAGGTCTGAGGAGAATGGAGCTGCAATGAGTTACCAGGGGATCTGACCGACGCTCGAATTTCGACGGAAAGACAAGATAGATAGATATTCAAGCAGGTTGTTACTGTTGGCAGCAGAACTGGAACTCTGCACTTGCTGCTGAAGATGGGGATGAAGTGTTTACAGAAAGACAAGATAGATAGATATTCAAGCAGATTGTTACTGTTGGCAGCAGAACTGGAACTCTGCACTTGCTGCTGAAGATGGGGATGACGTGTTTATAGGAATGTCTTGAGTGCTGTGATGTCAAGTCTTAATTCAACTCCCCAAAATGGGGCCCTAGAACCCACACAGGGAAAAATGTATTGAAAGGAAAATTTTGTTTTCTGTCACGGCACTACACTAGATTCTACAGGATCACCTGACTGAATGGTTGCAATGCTGGTATCTCTTATGAGAGATCTTAGTTATAATCTGTGGTAAACTGACAGATTTTACTGTAAGCTGTAAATATAAAAGTCTTAACCTGTGCAGGTTGTGGCAACTGCATTAGTGGTGGGTCCTTAAATCGTGAAAAATGTAAAATACCTCTTTGCCTTATACTTCCTTAAAAAATAATGTGGAATAATAAGGGCAGTAAAAGACAGTTGACTGAGTTGGGGTATACTGGCAATAAAATACCTCATAGATAAAATACCTTAAGAGAAAACATAAGTCTAAAAAATATTAGAAAGACATAAAGTATATGTCAGTTTCTCAGAAGTGATAACAATAAACAAATCAAGGACATTATAGCAATTATCTTTCTTTAGCAGAACAATTATGAGGATAAAAACACAATACACACAAAATAATGAGTTTCCTGTTGTGCTCTGTCCTTTGTTTGTTTTCTTATTATTATAGGTTTGTAAAGCTGGCATATACTAAATGTTTTTTCTCAACTTTTTTTAAAAAGACTTTTCTAGCTTGATTGAAGTGACTTCATTTTGATATTTGAAGGACACATGAATGACCAAGCTGGGTGTGATTCTCACCAGTCCACATGTTCTGTGCTTAAATTCTAATTTGTTATCTCCTAATATTCCTCTGTACAAACTTAAGTACTGGTCTTGCGCTCCATGTATGGAGAAAACAGGAACAGACCCACTGTCCCTTTAGCAAGCGTGTCATAAAAGGCGACTAATTAGAGGTGTTTCTGTCCAAGCCAGAGTGCATCTGCCTGAGAGGTGAAGAATTACCAGAATGCATACAGATAAGCCAGATCTGTAAAACAAGGATGCACACACAACTCAAGTTCTAGAAAAAGATCGAATGTCTAGAAGTAGATTTACAACCAAAATTTTCTAACAGAGTTTACAGCTAGGAAATTCGCAGAAGCAGAAGAAAGTCTTGCACAGTGTGAAGGTTTCTGAGCTTAGAAAAGGGAAAGAAAGCATCTCCAACACAGTCTCAGGCTAGAGTTGATTGTATTTTGATACTAAGTCAGAAGTAAAGTCTTCTTTCCTGGCTAATCTCAGATACCCTGATCAACCTTCAACAACAACAACAAAAATGCTATAATTGGGCACACATAACAATTACATCAGACTTGTGTAATCTTCAGTTCACTTTCAGTAAGGAATCTTTTTAGTCAAATGAAGAAAAGTTGATTCAGTGATATATCTTCACAATTTGATGTCTCTCTCCACACTATGATATCTTTCCACACTGTGATATCTCCCTATGCACTGAGATATTTCTCCACACTGTGATATCTCTCCATACTGTGATCTCTCTCTATACACTTTGATCTCTTTCTACACTGTGATATCTCTCTAAACACTGAGATATTTCTCCACATTATGATATCTCTCCATACTGTGATTTCTCTCTATACACTATGATCTCTCTCCACACTGTGATATCTCTCTATTCACTGAGATATTTCTCCACACTGTGATATCTCCACACACTGTGATATCTCTATCCACACTGTGATATTTTCTTAATCCCATCCCTAATATATCTCCCTCACATTACTGTCACATCACTTTCACAGCTCTTTCTCCCACCTTTATCAGATCTTTCTCCGCACTGTGATATCTCTCTCAATTCTGTGATATTTTTCTCAATCCCATCCCTTACATATCTTCCTCACATCACTGTCATATCACTTTCACAGCACTCTCTACCACCTTAGCCAGATCTATCTCCCCATTGTGATATCATTTTCCACAGTATGATATCTCTCTTCACACTGCGTTATCTCTCCACATTGTGATCTCTCTCTCCACACTGATACCTCTCCACCCCGAGGTATTTTTCTCAATCACATCTCTAACATATCCCCCTCATATCATTGTCATATCCCTTTCACAACATTCTCTCCAACTTTTATCATATCTCTCTCCACACTGCACTATTGCTCTCCACACTGTGATATCTCTCTCACATCTTGTCAAATCACTTTCACAGCACTATATTCCATCTCTGTAGTATTATCTCTCTCATTACTATCTGTCATATCTCTTTCTTAGCACTTTTTTTTTCTAGCACTCTCTCCCACTTCTCTCATATCTCTTGAAGCACTAAAATTATTGGTAACAAAGCCTTGTATAATTCATGCCACACATCTAATATTTGATCAACTTGCTGTTATTTCATGATCGCCAACCTTGAGCTTGCATCCTCTGGATGTTGGGCCAAACTGCATGCGACACTGGGTATTGACATCAAATGTGTCCCCAGGCAGGTCCCTGGGGTAAGCTTCTCTTTTCAATGGGATGTTTTCCAAGCACCATCCTTTACCTGCGCTGTGGAGAGACAACTATAAAATATGAAACTATAGTCTATAAAAACTGTTGAACTTAACTCATTCGGTTCCAGACAGTTGTTATTTAAAACTATCTCTGTCTTAAGCAGTGTGCGTGTGTGTGTACATATATATATATATATACAATATTTGCTTTTTACCTACTGTACAGAACTCATAACAAAGAAATAAATAAAGTAAAACAACTGTATAGAAACAGTATTATCATCATCATTATCAAGTGTCTTGCCAATTGGCCTGAGTGATTATATCTGTCCACAACCTGCGATATCCTTCAACATGTATTAGTTTGTGTCTTGAGATCCCTCCATGCCACGACAAAAGGTTGTCATGAATTGTCTTCCTCTAACTTTCTTTCCACTGATTTTTCCAGTGGTGACAAAATGTTATAAAATAGTTTTCCTCTTCTTATTCTTCTTCTTCTTCTTCTTCTTCTTCTTCGCTTCCTCTTTTACCGCTGTGGGTGTCGAGGGAGATATAAGGTTCTGTTTCTAGCTCTTCTGGCTGCCTGGACCATAGGCACATCGTACTGTTGTAGAGTTTCTCTGATGTTATCCTTCCATCTTGTTCTTGGTCTACCCCGTGCTCTACGTCCTTCTTCTCTTCCCATGTATGCTTTGTATGGTATGGTGTCACAAGGCATTCTCTCTAAGTGGGCAAACCATTTCACTTGCTGTCTTTGTATGTAATCCAGAATTGGTTCTGTGCCGACTTGTTCTCTTATGATCTCATTTCTGATCTTATCTCTTATGGTCACTCCTACAGCCCTTCTCAGACATCTCATTTCCGTGGTTACTAATTTTCTTTTATGGTTTGTTGTGAGTGACCATGTCTGGCACTGGTAGCACAGAGTTGGAATAAATATGCTTTGAATAAGATGTCTCTTTGTGCTGATTGGGATTGTCTTATGCTGTCTAGCTGTCCCAATACTTGGTTTGCTTTACTGCATCTAATGTCAATTTCTTTATCCAATTTCCCATCTTCGGTAAATGTAGTTCCCAGATATTTAAACTCCAATGCCTGTTTAATGCCTTTGTATTCTATTGTTATGTTTAGATCTGTCTTCTTTTTTCCTATTGACATTACTTCTGTCTTTTCAGTGTTGATTCTCATATTATTTGTTTTACATTCTTCATTCATGGATGTTAGATGTTGTTGCAATTTCATGGCTGTATCTGCTATCAAGGCCTGGTCATCTGCAAAGATGTCTTCTGGTATTGTAATTTAAAAAAAACTGGGTTACTGTTTTTGGCTGTTCAAAAAATGTCAACACTGTTCAACACAATATTCTTATCAACGCTATGCTATCAATGTCAAACATAGACTGTCTTCGAAAGACAGAAGGAAAATAGTCATGACAGAAATGAAATGTTTATGTACTATGCTGGGTTTAACAAGGAAAGATCGACTTAGCAACAATGATATCAAGAGGAAAGTCTGCACAGAACTTCTTCTTCTTCTTTGCATTCAGTTTCATATGCTCAGATCAGACCAATAGGTGGGTTGCCTCTATGAACTCGCATGTCAGTAGCAGGTCCTTAATGGTTCTCCATAGCTTGCTCTGCCGGGATCCACTTGAGAACGATTTGATTGTTTTCTGAGAGTCTGATTAGCTGGTGGGTCAGTTCTCTCTCTATGTTGTCTCGTGGATCCCTGGAGGACTGACATGCAGTCACAAAGGAAAACAACAAACTACACAGAACCAATACTGAACTTTACAGGTAGACAGAAAATCAAATGGTTTGGCCATGTGACCAGATTAGCATCAGACAGGGCACTACAGAGAGCAATGTTAACAGATCAAGAGGTGGACCATGCAGAATATGGACCGCAGAAATATCAGAGACACTGAAAAGTATTTTATACGAAGCGAACAAAAGGACCCCTTTCCAAGTATCTCTTCCTACTGCGCTGATGCATTCCAGGAGTAGAGAAAAGAAGTAGAAGAAGAAAGTAAAACAATATTCTGTAAAAGCCACATCTCTGAGGCCTCAGAAAAGATAAAAAAAATATACATATCAATGTAAAACTTAAAGGAATATACTATTATTTAAATCAGTTTGTACCACTTCTGTACTTTATGCTCAAAAAAGGAACATAAGCCACCAGTCTTCCTCTTCTTCTTCCTCTTCCTCTGTTCTTCTTCTTCTTATTATTATTTTTATTCTTCTTCTTTCTTTCTTTCTTTCTTTCTTTCTTTCTTTCTTTCTTTCTTTCTTTCTTTCTTTCTTTCTTTCTTTCTTTCTTTCTTTCTTTCTTTCTTTCTTTCTTTCTTTCTTTCTTTCTTTCTTTCTTTCTTTCTTTCTTTCTTTCTTTCTTTCTTTCTTTCTTTCTTTCTTTTTCTTTCTTTCTTTTCTTTCTTTCTTTCTTCTTTCTTTCTTTCTTCTTTCTTTCTTTCTTTCTTTCTTTCTTTCTTTCTTTCTTTCTTTCTTTCTTTCTTTTTCTTTTCTTTCTTTCTTTCTTTCTTTCTTTCTTTCTTTCTTTCTTTCTTTCTTTCTTTCTTTTTCTTCTTTTTTTTCTTTTCTTTCTTTTCTTTCTTTCTTTCTTTCTTCTTTCTTTCTTTCTTTTCTTTCTTTCTTTCTTTCTTTCTTGATCTTCCTCCTCTTCCTTTTCTTCTTCTTCTTCTTCTTCTTCTTCTTCTTCTTCTTCTTCTTCTTTTTCTTCTTTCTTTCTTTCTTTCTTTCTTTCTTTCTTTCTTTCTTTCTTTCTTTCTTTCTTTCTTTCTTTCTTTCTTTCTTTCTTTCTTTCTTTCTTTCTTTCTAGTTTTTTTCTGTCCTTTTTTTTTCTTTCTTTCTTTCTTTCTTTCTGTCCTTTTTTTTTCTTTCTTTCTTTCTTTCTTTCTGTCTTTCTGTCTTTATGTCTTTCTTCCTTTCTTTTCTTCCTTTCTTTTCTTCCTTTCTTTTCTTCCTTTCTTCCTTCCTTTCTTCCTTCCTTTCTTCCTTTTTTTCTTTCTTTCTTTCTTTCTTTCTTTCTTTCTTTCTTTCTTTCTTTCTTTCTTTCTTTCTTTCTTTCTTTCTTTCTTTCTTTCTTTCTTTCTTTCTTTCTTTCTTTCTTTCTTTCTTTCTTTCTTTCTTTCTTTCTTTCTTTCTTTCTTTCTTTCTTTCATTCTGTCTTTCTTTCTTTCTTTCGTTCTGCTTCTTCTTCTTTGTCTTCTTTTTCTTCTTTTTCTTCTTCATCTTCTTCTTCTTCTTCTTCTTCTTCTTCTTCTTCTTCTTCTTCTTCTTCTTCTTCTTCTTCTTCTTCTTCTTCTTCTTCTTCTTCTTCTTTTTCTTCTTCTTCTTCTTCTTCTTCTTCTTCTTCTTCTTCGTCTTTGTCTTTTGTCCTCAAAGAGCGGTTGTCACATTATGTTGTAATTTACAGCTAGGCTGCTATATCTGCACACTGCGACCTAACACATCAGATTTCAGCAAACCCCCTATTTAGTCACCTTTACCGCATGCTTGTGGAATGCAGTTGTCTAGTCCTCTCCTAAAGCTCTACATAACACCAGTGTTGAACTTTAAAGGAATCAAAATAAGTTACCCTTTGCCCAGTGTCAAAACATCAGGGACCGGGTCGCCTATTGGCTCGCCGTTGGACGACTTTGTCACAGGTCATGACATAATTTGGGTCTGTCTCCTTTGATCACATTAACACTGTTTTGGGACTTTTAGTGGCGTGCGGTGCTGAGCCATTTTATATGGCACACATAACCTAGTCACAATTATAACCTAAAGCTCCAACTTCAGGGATGCTGGTTTAGCGTAACAATTTTTTTTCCAACAAAGCACCACCAAAATCACGAGTTTCACAAGCTCTATTCATCATCCACTGGATGTGTATGTGATTGTGTGTGTGTTTGTGTATGTCTGTGTGTGCACGATATTGCGAGAATGCATGCATATTGTGTGTGTATTATTTCTGTTTCTTTTTTAAATGGTTTATTATATGTACTATATGTTTATTTCTACACTTGCGTGTGTGTAAGTTGTGTATGGTTGAGCGTAGGTAACCGGGCATTTATTTTTATTTATGTTTATCTAGAAGGCTTTTGTGAAAGTTAGTTAGTTGTTGCGTATCCTTTACAGGACGTTGCAGAACCAACCCCAACAGCCCCTGGCTGTTGTGTGGTTTTTCTAGGCAAATTTACGTCCAGTAATTTGCCTTTGCTTTCTGGACGGTCGGCTTTCTTCATACCACTGTCGAAACCAATGCAAGGCGCATGGCCCGCAGCTGGGATCGAATCCGACATCTCGGCATTACAAAGCGTTCGCATCGACTTAGCCACAGAGCCAACTTTGTGAAAGTACTAACATTTTATTTTCTAGCTAATTAAACTGATTAATAATATTAACAAATGATAAAGATACTTTATCTTAAAGATTCAATAACTGGAGCACAAAATATAGAATACAGATTGTTATATTTTCATCTACAGTGAAGCAAGCTTTAGAGTAAAGAATTGAATTTCATACCATAAATTATATCTAATCTCAAAATATTCATATTCACAAGCAGTCATGTTACTATGGGAGCCATTCTGGCATAGCGGTTAGCATGCCTGTTTGCCCGTCAAATGGTCATGTGCTCAAACCTGCACTGATACAATGATTTTGTTTTAAATTTATCAAGCTGCCAGGGTGACCCAGCCTTAACTCTTTCGGTACCAGGTACTTATGCTATTTAGGCATTTGTTACCTCAAACTAGTAGATATTACTCTAGTAAATATTAGGGAGTCTCGATGGTCAAGTGGGCAAGCAGTTTTCCAAGCGCTTAGAAGGTTGTTGGTTAATGTCACAGCTGTGTCATTCCGTTCATTTCTGCACATTTTATGGGAAATCCTGGGGATCTTCACCTGAGCTATGGTGTTTGTGCTTTGTTAATCACTTAAGGCAGGCAGCTTGCCATTCTGCAGAGAGACCCAGCCACATAGGATATAAACTGGTGCCATGGAGCCAATCCTCTTGACTTTAATCTTTAACTTTAACCTTTAGTAAAAATTGTGTCTAAAAGGTCATTCTAACAATAGTTCTACTTAAAAGAAAAAGTTGAAATAATAATCACAAAACGGAGTTGATATAGTCAATGGATAAAAGAGAATGTTGGGAACATCACATCATGTAAGACACTGCCAGTAAGGACATAGCAAGTTTCTTGGTTCCAGATTAGTTAAATGAATGTCATGTAATATCCTAGGAAACAAAGGTGACTTGTATGCTTAAGAACATCATCCAATGATCAATAAATATAGGGTCAGTAGCACCTTTACCCCAGAGCTTTCTAAACTGTCTGTCATACCACATTAGAATGTTGGATGCAGTATGAAATGTTGACATGGGGTTGTTTAACCTCTGGTTTGCTAGTAGACTGAATTACTTTGTCGTGAAATTATGTTTATTTAAAATGTTTGTAACCAACAAAAAGTTTGAAAAGCTCTGATTTACCTAAAGTGTCCCACGGTGAGAAACAGGGTCACAATTATCATTTTATGCCATTGTATGTCACATAGGGTTTGCAATCTAGTCTTCCATTCTATCCGGTGCAGTTATTTCATTAACATAGATGAAATCAATTCCTTTAGCTTCTCTCAATAATGTTTGTCGTGTGGTCTCTATTGGGTGTCCTTGTTTTCGCAGTCCATTTGTTTCTTATTTCAGTGCCTATTTGGTGATTCTCTGTCCATTTCCCTCATGATGCTCCTTATATACTCATATCTTCTTTGTCTTATATTTGATAATACAAGCCATTATCAGGACATTTCTCTTTTTTGTTTCTTCTTCTTCTCTTCCACCTTTTACCTCATCAAAGTGTTGGGGGGAGATGTAATGTTCGTTGATGGGATCTGTCAAGAGCACTTTTAGGACTGATGTTCGTTTCTGTAAGGCTGTTCTTAATGCCATCACTCCATATTTTCCGAGGTCTTCCACTCGCTCTATACCCGTTGTAACGTTTTAGTGTGGCTCACTGTGGCAGATAGTACCAGGGCATTCTTGTTAGGTGTCCAAACCACTTCATTTGTTGTTCTTTGATGACTTGTAAGACTGGCTTTATTCCTTTATTTGTTTACCTTTTTTAAATTCAAGTCATTTAATGTTCATCAGTTTCCTTAGACATCTGTTTTCTATTTCTCCTCATTCATTGTCATCAATTATGTGCGAGAAGATACTGTTTGGCTTGTTTATTAATTGTCCTGGCGACACAGCCGTATGTTAAAACTAGCTCTATATAACACGCGAGAATTTTTTCTCTAACCTCCAATGACATGGATTGGACTCACTGCACAAAATGTTCTTCATATTGTAAAATACAGTTCTGGCCTGTCCTATAATACTCTTCATCTCTGTGATACATCTTCCATCGGATGTTATCCATGTGCGTAGATACTTAAATTTCTGTATTTGTCCTAAAATAACGCCTTTGACTTTTATTATACATTTAGGCACTATTCTTTTTTGTGTGGAAATCACCATTCTGTCTTTCCATTTTTCAAACTGAGGTCTATTTTATCATTTTTTTACCACAACTGTATCTATCAATTCCTGTAGTTCTTTCTGACTTGTCCCTATCAAGATGTTATCAGCATAACACTGGTTGTTTAAGTTATGCCTACAACCGCAATTCTTGGCATATCCTTGATAGACCTCATTATATATATTTACTGCATAGTGAAAACAAAGTACACATCCTTGTCTTACTCCCTCGTTATGCTCTGAAATGTCCCCAACTGTTGATTAATTCTTATAGGTGCTGTTTGCTGCCATTATATGTTCTTTATAATTTGTAAATACTTCCCTTCAATGTTTAACTTTTCCAACAGTTTGTTTATTTCTTCATGATTCACACAGTCAAATGCTTTTGTTATAGTCAATGAAGAAGCATAAGTAATGTTTGTTTTTTAAAACTTCTATAGCTCTTTCCGAAAGAGTCCTGAGGATGCATATGGCATTGTTTGTATCTTTTCCTTCTACAAATCTTAAATTTTTTCTTATTTATCTCATAATTATTATTCTTGGTAACATTTTTGTCACATGACTCATAAGACTTATGGTGCGATAGTCTTCACATTTTTCAGTACCTGGTTGCTTTGGCAAAGCAATAAATATAGATTTTACTGCTGTATACCTTTTGCTTTCTTGCTCTCAAACTTCCCCTCTAGTATGGTCTAAAAAAAATTTTTTATGTGGCCAAAATAAACTCCTCATTATTGGTTGAATATATGATCATCTTCTTTGTGAAACAGCTACTTTACTTTTAATGATATGATGCTTTACTCATTATGTGCTGATCATTTGCCACCTTCTTTGTAAAACAGGATACTCTACTTTTAATGATACTATACTTTACTCATTATGTGCCCAATATATTGTCATCTTTTTTGTAAAACAGGGTACTCTAAATGATACTATACTTTACTCATTATGTGCCCAATATATCGTCATCTCTTTTGTGAAACAGGATACTTTACTTGTAATTATACTATACTTTACAGATTTCATATTTACAAGCAATACTGATGTCCTACTCCAGAAAGTCTGTGACGTATTTCCGAGAACAGCTTGACCAATAGAATGGCGAAGTCTCTTTTGTTAATCTTGCTGCCATCAGTCGTGCTGGTTCTTTTCCTGGCATCCCACACTGGTTTCCAGCCCCGTCATGGTGCATGCCAAAACTGCAGACAAAAAATATGGGGATAACTAAATTTGAGAAAAATTAAACAATATGAATCTTGTTAAATCTTTATTCTTTTATTTTGTCCTACTACTTATGCTGTAAAGCGTTACATGGAGTTTGCTGTCTTGCTAATTGTGTCATTATCATCGTGTGCCCTGCCAACTGGCATAAGCGCTCATGGGTCTCCACAGATCACGATACCTGGTTGCCTTGAACAGCTTTCTTGATGATATCCCCCCAGGCCATCGCTTTAGACCATCCAGCATCATCTCTCTTGGTCTGCCTCTACCTCTTTTCTGCTGATCTTTCTAGTTTTCACGATGTTCTCCAATGTCTTTCTTCTCAATACGTTGTCAAAGAACAGTGTTTATCTCTTTCTTATTGTTGTATATAGAGATCTACTTTCATTAGCTTCTTTGAAGCAATCACTGTTAGTTGCTCTGGCTGTCCAAGGTATTCGTAACATTCGTCTCAGAAACCACGCTAATTGTGTAGTTAGTATTAATGTCATATTGCATTTCTGAAGTGTCTCTTTTACTCCATCAGTCCATATATTTCTTGGTCCGCCCCTTGCCTTAAAGTCTGCTGTTTTATATGTTACTCTCTAGCTGCTGGCTGATTTTGTTCCATTCTGACCAGATTAAAATACTTGTTAAATTCAGGAACGATGATATCAGGAGAGTGGGCACATAACCAATACTGAACTTGACTATAACATCAAATGGTTTGGCCATGTAACAAGATTGGCATCAGTCAGGATACCACAGAAAACAATATTATACAGAGACAGTGGCAACAGAGCCAGAAGATGGACTGCAGAAATATCAGAGATCCTAAAAAGTACTATACATGAAGCTAACAGTAGGGCTCGTTGCAGATATTTCTTCCTGCTCTGATGCTGCGAGGTATTCCATGAATAGAGGAAAGAAGAAGATTATACACTGCTGGGTATGTAAAGTGTGCCTGCTGGGACAGTGGTCTGTAAACTAGTACATTACCAACACAAGACTGCAAAGTGGTCAAGCCGTTTGCCTCGCACTCTGAAGGTCGTGCGTTCATTTCACGGCTAGGTCGTTCAGTTCACAAGTGCAATTTTACAGAGATTCCTGAGGATCATTGTCGGAGGTGCGGAGTTTGTGCCCTGGACAGCGCTCTCAGCAGGCGGATAGTTGTTCTGCGGAAAGAGACTGAGCCAAATGGGATAAAACCCAATGCAATGAAGTTGATCCTCTTGACTTTAACCTTTGACTTTCACTTTCACCAGTGTAATGTAGCATTACATGTGCCACATTTTATAACTTCTTTGGAGGTCGAACAGGGAATTTGGTGTTTGCTTTGTTGGTCTGCCACCCAGTATAAGACTTATGAAGTCTCAGGGATGACCAAATCTTCAGGTAGCAGCCAGGAAGGAAGGGGACAGACAGACAGACAGACAGACAGACAGACAGACAGACAGACAGACAGACAGACAGACAGACAGACAGACAGACAGACAGACAGACAGACAGACAGACAGACAGACAGACAGACAGACAGACACAGACAGACAGACAGACAGACAGACAGACAGACAGACAGACAGACAGACAGACAGACAGACAGACAGACAGACAGACAGACAGACAGACAGACAGACAGACAGACAGACAGACAGACAGACAGACAGACAGACAGACAGACAGACAGACAGACAGACAGACAGACAGACAGACATGGTCCAAGTTCTATCCACATAAATTGTAGAATATTTTTCTGACCAGTGTAACTGGTGTTGGGGGGTGCAGTTTCTGGAACACGAGTCAGAGGCCCATCTTCACTGAAGATACACTGGCCATGAAAGCACACAGGACTGGAAAATTAACTATAAAATGAGCGACGTTTAGATGTGCCTTGAAGAGAGCGTCGCGCTGTAAAGGACATGCTGACTGATGATAGTGATAAGTATAACTGGGATCAACCCAGCTCCTCAAAAATTTGTAGCAACTAATTTCTATAATGTTTCCGGAATTGAGTGGAAAGGAAATGTGATGGGGAAGGGAGCTACATGCAGAGAGCTCGTCTGTAGTACAATTTCAGTGTTCTGTTTGTGAATTCACAATCTTGAATTTTGTACGTATGGCTGCAGAATCAGTTGTGTTGAGTATGCGGTCTAAATATAATGGTCTTTTTCTTCAGGATTTGTGGACTGTCTCCCGTATAGGAAGAGTTCTAATGGCTACTTTGATCTGAGTTTTATTTCACAGAATCCAGGTATTGGTATCATCATCATCATGTAGAAATTATTTTGCAGAAAGTCGCTCTCCTCACGGTCTGCCTGAAGAAACTCGGTCTCTCGCAAGCTCTCCCACCTTGTGTACTTTCATACTAAAGGAGTCACTTTTATCCTGTGCCCATCTTATTGTATTGGTAAGAACATTAATAACTGAGCTACCAGGGATCAAACCACGACATCTGAAAGAACATAGTACCACCCTGACTTCAGCACCACTTACTTGTGTCCAATTTCATGAGCTATAGTGAAAGCAGAGGCCAGCCCAATGTCTTGGTTGATGCTGCAGCTTCGTTCTTTCTCACACATCCCATCCACTGGGGCCAGACCTGGAAATGTACAAGTGAGATTTCTGTTTTGACAGAGTCGATGAAAGTTATTCATTACAAGGTCCCATTCGACGTCGGATTGCATCTACCTGAGAGGCCAGGAACCATCAGTCTGCATACAAATAAGCCAGATCTGTAAAATGGATGCGCATTCAAAATTCAAGTTCTGGAACAAGACAGTCCAGAAAAACGGGATAAAAAACTATAACTTTTCGCCAAGTTTTCAGCCGAAGGCTAACAAAAAAGGAGAAGTTGGTTTCATCTGGTTTGATTTCCATTTCTGAACTCCGCGTGACCCATTTATTTCTTGCACGCACCCTCAGGGGCACGGATACTGAAAAAAACGTGGACGATTCTGGGAGGGAGCACTCGGCTGTATGGGAGGAAGCACTCAGCTGTGTGGGAGGGAGCACTCAGCTGTGTGGGAGAGAGCACTCAGCTGTGTAAAAGGGAGCACTCAGCAGTGAGGGAAGGAGCACTCCGCTGTGTGGGAGGGAGCATTCTGCTGTATGTGAGTGAGCACTCAGCTGTGGTGGAGGGAGCACTCAGCTGTGTGGGAGGGAGCACTCAGCTGTGTTTTAGGGATCGCTCAGCTGTGGTGGAGGAAGCACTCAGCTGTTTGGAAAGGAGCACTCAGCTGTGTGGGAAGGAGCACTCAGCTGTTTGAGAGGGAGCACTCAGCGGTGTGGGAGGGATCAGACGGCTGTGTGGGAGGGAGCACTCAGCGGTGTGGGAGGAATCACACAGCTGGGTGTGGTCAAGGTCCTTTGCGAGCAAGAGGAGAGCGTGGAAGCATGAGCAGCTCATTGCTGTATGGAGAAAATGGGGCAGCGAGGAGTGAGCAACAGATCTGCCCGATTCACTACACTCAGAGAAAGGTCAAAACAACATTTAATCAAACTCCTATCGGTATCATCGGAATTGAAACTCATTGCTGACTGTTGAATGAGATGACAGCGCGTGTTTGGAAAAAAATTCCGATTGCGTTGATGTTGGTTCTTAATTCAACTCAGGATTTGCATATATACATATACAAAGTAAAGGAGCCGTTACCACGCCTCTCGGGCGTCTTGGGTATATAGGGCTAGACCTATATTTCATAGACCAACGCACAAGACGGTGATGTGGTCAGCATCACACCGGCCGCCTTTACCTCCCAGGACTGCCCCCACCCCAGTACCCACTTCAGGCTGTGCGGACCTGGGAGCGAAGGTCATTTTTGATAAAAATTCCGGTCCCGCCAGGGAGTGAACCTACGACCTTCCGAGCGACTAGACGCTACGCCACGGCGACTCCATAAATACATACATATATATATAAAACTACACACTTCTTTCAACTTCTTCCTTACTCTATCCTTTCTTTCGTACGGTAGTAGCTTTTTATGTGAATTCGAATTGGTTCGTATGTAATGGACTGACTGTTTCTAATCTAAACGCACGTGCTAACTCTTGATCTTTAACAAATGTAACTTTACTTCTTTTTAAAATTAATTTTTAAATGAATCCGATTTAGCTTCGCATTTCTTAGCCAAGTCCTGTCCAGGAAGTCACGTGGTCTAGAGAAAATGTCAGTGGCTTAGACGTTGTGAACGCACTTCGTAATGCCAGGGTGCTGGGTTCGATCCCAACTGCATGCGATTTGGCAGCAGACCCTCTTGTGTAGGTTTCACCAGTGGTATTCAGATCGGACCGTTTAGGAAGCAATGGCAAACTACTGAACGTAACATTTGCCTACAAAAGCCACAACGGCTGCAAAATGCTGGTGTTGGTTCCGCAACGTCCTGTAAAGGATACACACCTAGCTTTAACAGTATAAAGAGAAGCCGTGCGTGAAAAATCAAAGGAAAACTACTTAACGTCAGATTGCCTAGGACTGTTTAAACATAGTGGTGTTGGTTCTGCAACCTGCTATAAATGGTATGTAGCTAACTAAACTCTCAAAGGCGATACCTGCAGGCCTGCTGCCTCAAAGAAAACATTGGGAAGGTAAGCCCTACCCCTTCCACCGGCTTGAACAATTTCTGGGCAATAAAATATAAAGGGGCAAATATTGCCCCTCTCTATCCCCCACCACCCCCCCCCTCCCCCCCAAAAAAAAAACATTGGCAAGAACAGAGGACCCCCCCCCCCCCCCTTTCTCTCTCTCCACCACGCCCTTCTCATCACTTTAGAGATTTTCTAGCCAAATGATTGGATGGGAGAAGGGGAACGTGTAAGGAAAAAAACGGGTAGAGGGAGACTTAGGTCTTTGAATGCCCCCCCCCCCCCCAAGCCCCAAACTCAGTCATTTTGTAAGTATGCAAGTTGCTCATATAAACATAGAAAGAAATGATCTTTCAAAATGATTTGTTTACATTTCAGACTCTTTTAAGTATATTATTATATGTATTTGCCATTCACATTATCATTATTATTGCTGCGTTAAATTGTAAATGCATTTAGTAATACACTCGAAATTACTGTCCACATCACAAACTAGTATAGAAAACTGTAGAACCTCAACCCAAAGAAATAGTGAAAATCAAAAAGTATATCTTAACATAGCAAAAACAAAGTTTATGTATACAGATAAAACTACCCCGGAGACAGAATTATGTGTTAATGAGGAAATACTGGAGGTTTTTGAAAATGAATGTCTTAGGTCATTGATTACCAACAATGATGATACAATGAAAGAAATTAAACGACAAATATCAATTGCTTTTCAAAGACTAAAACAACTGAATAAATTACGGAGTGAGACAGACAGAGCTACACAAATTCGATTTCTAAGAGCATGCATCTTTCCCATTGCAACTGACTACCTGACTCACTGGCTAATACACTTGAAATAATATAAAATGCATAAACAAATACTTCTGTATAAAATGTATGTACATGGTTAAAGAGGGGAATCTTAGTTTCCTTACTACAATATCCAGTTTAAGAATGGAGGTGGAGGCGGTCAATGCAGCTTTCCGCTGGTTAGAGAACATGAAAAAAAACCACACACACACACATACACACAATGCACACACACATGGTGATTGTAACTGGCCCAGAAAGCATGCAGAGGAATGTGTGGACAGAAATGCTTTGTGCAGAGTGGCTTAGGAGGTCATGAGTGAGCAGCATTGTCTGGATCTGTTCTCCGGATATGCCGGCTGGCTCTGTACAACTTAGTGAAATACTGATGCAAGATAAAGCAGACATGGTTAGAGCCTTGTGGGCGAACGTGTACAATTGGGAGCAGCAAATGGTTTCACCCCAGTCTAGTGAGAGTGATGCAGCGGGGAGTGACGAGGGTATCTTACTGATACCTGACGCTCAGAGGAAAGGCCAGACGGACGAATCATTAGAATGCTACGAACAGCATTGGTATTGAAACTTTGTGCTGGCTGCTGAAGATGGGGACGGAGGGCTTAGTGCTGTGATGCCGATTTTTGAATCAACTCAACTCTTAATCCACTTACAAAAGCAATAGTGGGTGACCGGGGGGCGGGGGGCGGAGAGAGTGGGGAGTAGGGTCAAGGATACTGAGCCTGCTAAAATAAATTTCGGAAGATTGGGGGGGGGGGGGGGGAAGGGGGGTCAAGAAATCACACCCCCACCCTACATTCCGGCGTCTATGGAAGCCTGCCATGCCATAAATCTTTGTTTCGTATAAGCATGCGCGAATTTTATAGTTGTCCAAAATAACGTCATATTCTCTTACTTATTAGGCTTGCAGATTATTTCTTCATTCTGTTCTTTCTCGTGCAATCAGTTCGATATCATGGAATGAATCCAATCCTTGAGCCCAGCACCTTTGGCTTCTCTCTTCAACTTTCGCCTTAGGGTTTTTCTTAGCGCCCTCGTTTTCTCAATCTCTCTCTTTCCCATTGCGATGCTTGTTTGCTGATTCTCTGTCGTCTCTTCGAAAACTACGGAAACACTCTTACTGGACAAGAAAGATATTCTGAAGAGCATTTTATGAACGACTTACAGCAGAAGACACGAGATTATGTGAAATAACATGACCAGGAATGAGGAATTAAGTGTGAATCCGACAAGGAGGGACGGGGATAGGAAGAGTCATCGTGTGTATTATCGTGTGCTACGGGAACAGTTAGCCTCTATACATTACGTCATTTGCTGCGGGAGACGGAGCATCTATGGGTATGCCAGGTGTGCTATGATGTCGATTCTTAAACCAATAAATCAGTGTAATCTTTTCTCATAATGCGTCCAAAATAGCGCCATCTTCTATAACTTATAACCGTTGATTCTAATGCCTTATCATACATTTTGCCTAGTTTATTAGTCCATACAAATATGAGCCTCGCACAGTGTGCCCGATGTGCTAGTTGTGTGAAATTATTAATTTACTAATTTTCTGGGCCAAAACAAAGATTGATTTGAAATTGGCACTTGAGACAACAGATCTTGTCCACCAAGACTGTCCCAAATATGGCCAAGAGAAACATCGATGTAAGCCAAACTTTACGGGTTGCTGAGTAAATTACAAAAGACAGTGAAGTTCATACTAGAGACAACATTGCAGATATAGACAATCTATTTCAAGCAAACGAAAGAAGAAGAAGAAGAAGAAGAAGAAGAAGAAGAAGAAGAAGAAGAAGAAGAAGAAGAAGAAGAAGAAGAAGAAGAAGAAGAAGAAGAAGAAGAAGAAGAAGAAGAAGAAGAAGAAGAAGAAGAAGAAGAAGAAGAAGAAGAAGAAGAAGAAGAAGAAGAGAAGAAGAAGAAGAAGAAGAAGAAAAAAAGAAGAAGAAGAAGAAGAAGAAGAAGAAGAAGAAGAAGAAGAAGAAGAAGAAGAAGAAGAAGAAGAAGAAGAAGAAGAAGAAGAAGAAAAAGAAAAGAAGAAGAAGCATATTTGTTTTGTACTGAACCATTGAAAGACTTTGCACAATGGCGCACATTTAGTTTTCCTGTTGTTATCTTCTTCTTGTTTTTCTTTCTTTCTGGGTGCTGTTCTGTCCTTTAGGTTTTACAAAAGGTTTTGGTGCCAGACTTTTAGCTTTG